TTTCCCACAGCAGTCCCAGATGTCCCGTTCCAGAATCCATCGATTCCCACTGCTGTGACACAGCACAGCCCCAGCTGGTGCCTCTGAGGAGGAACCCCTCGGGTTTATCCCCTCACAGTCCAAGAGTGCAAGTTTTGCTCTTTTCCCCAAATCTTTGGCTCTTCCCGTCTCTCCAGTGTCCCCCCACCTGGCTGTGCTGCTGCTCTCCAAAGGTCAGCAAAGGATCAGCAGCTCACGGCCTCTTGTACCACCCAGAGCTCAAACTTCACCTCACTCATAAATGAGCTGTTGCACCAGCTGCGTTCCTCGACACACCAAGAACAGTTCCCTGAGGTGGGAAAAGCCCTCCCAGACGTCGAGTCAAAACTGTACCCAATCCCCACCTTATCACCAGCCCAGAGCCCTGGGTGCCACATCCAGTCCTTCCTTGGACACCTCCAGGGATGGGCACTTCAAACCTGCCTGGGCAGCCCCTGGCAATGGCCAACCACCCTGTCCATGTGTCTTAGGTTGCAAGATGTGTCTGGGAGTGTGTATTCAACTCCAGTCTCTCAGAGGTGGGGCAGTAATCTGCTGTTAATTGGGCAGCTTTATCTCTGCCACAATCAATCCACCCTCCAGGAGATATCTGCTCTTAATGGACCATTAATTATTAATTACCCCCAGCTGTGGAACAAACTGCTGTAAACTCATTTTTGGGCTAAAACCGTTGCATTTGTGGATAACTGAGGTTTTTGGGATTGTTCCCGTGCAGGGACAAGCATTGCACACACACATTGTGTCCTATCCAACTCCAGATGTTCCACAGTTCTTTGTTCTCAGTGCGTCTCCTCCAGCTCAGGGTTTCCCTGATTCCACGAGTCTGGACATCAGGGAGCACTTGAACAACACTCCTGGATTTTGGGGATCTTGGGGGTTGTCCTTTGCAGAACCAACAGATGACTCTATCATCCTTGCAGATCCCTTCCACCTCTGGTCATTCCACTATCCGAGAGCTCAGGGACATTGTTCACAACACCTTGAACACTGGGGTTTTGTCAGCAGTGGCCTTTTGGGGTTGTCCTGGGCCAGGGACCTTTTTGACAGCAGCCTTGAGCATTGGGGTTTTGTCAGCAGTGGCCTTTTGGGGTTGTCCTGCACAGGGTCAGGATCTGCCTCGATGATCCCTGTGGGTCCCTCCCAGCGCTGGATCCTCATGGCCCCCCAGCCCTGTGGCCTGGCCGGGTTCCTGAAGAGCCTTTTTGGGGTTTTGGGGGTTCCGGGGTGCGCAGCGGATGCTGCCTGGCCTCGCCTCCGACTTCCTCCGTCAAAACCCTCCAACGGCAGCAGCGGGGCCGCGGGCGGGGCCGTGCCGGGGCCATGGCCGAGGGCAGGAGCGGCAGCGCCGGGCTCTTCGCCAGGCAGGTCCAGAAGCACTTCAGCCGCGCCCAGGAGAAGGTACGGAGGTGCCACCCACCCCCACGTCCCAGCTTCCACTGGATGTGTCCTCCTTTCCCACCGCAGCGCTCCCGGGGTGGCCCAAAGGCACAGCTCAGCGCCTTTGGGTGCACACAGGGTGGGAATTTGGGGTTTCTGGGTCACTGTCATGGTTGCTTCAAGGCTTTGGAGGATGGCATCTCCCAGAGATCCCCAAGATACTTTGGCTCCTCTAATGGTGGGGGGTTCTCCACCCAAAACGCCTTGCAGAGGTTATGGGGGGCTGTGGGGAGGTGGCACAGGGTCCCTGGGCTGGCTGGCACTGCGGGGGCCCAGCAGGACCCAGCGTGGCCGGTGGTCCCAGGAGCGTTGGTGAGATCGGCACGGGCGCGCAGGAAGCGAGGGGGAAGGGCTGCGGAAGTGGCACGAGCGGGGCAATTCTCTGCTGCTTTGGGGCACTTGGGGGGAGCCTCTTTCCTTTCCTCTCCCCCTAAAAGTAGCTGTGACTCCCCTTTTGGGGGTGACACAAAGACCCCTTTCAAACCCTCCCGGGTTTCCTGGCCAGGGCTCAGTGTTAAATTTGGCTTTCCCACGGCTCAATCATCCCGGGCCAGGCTCTGGCTGCTTCCTGCACGCTGCAAATCTCCCTCCCAGCCGATCCTGGCCTCTTCCCAGGGGGCCCAGCCTCTTCCTGGACATCCCAAATCTCCCTCTGACCCAGCCCCAGCCTCTTCCTGGACATCCCAAATCTCCCTCTGACCCAGCCCCAGCCTCTTCCTGGACCCCAAAGCTCCCCGCTCCCAGCCCTGGTCCCTTCCTGTGGGGGTCAAGCTGTTTTTAGACACCCTAAAAGTCCCTCCTGCCTGGCCCAGGCTCTTCCTGGGGGGTTCCACCTCTTCCTGGACACCTTGAATTTCCCCCCATCTGATTTTCCAGAGGGTCACCCTCTTCCTGGGCACCCCAAAACTCCTTCATGCCTGGCCCCAGCCTCTCCCTGGGGAGCTCATTCTGATGCTGGACACCCCAAAGCTGCCCTCTTCCCAGGAGGCTCAGCCTGGACACCCCAAATCTTCCCCACCCAGCGCAGCCTCTCAGCTCTCCTTCAGCCTCAGACCCTCCTCATCCTCCTCACGGCATCCCCTGTGCCCCACAGCCAGGGGCTAGGGGTGTTTTGGGGTGCACAGCACTCACCCACAGGGTTTAGAGTGGGAGGCAGATTGGGTGGGAGGTAGGTTAGGATGGGAGGTAGATTGGCACCCAAAAATTCACCGTTTTTCCTGAAAGAAATAAAAGCACTGAGGGACTCAGTGAAATTTTGCATTTCCACATAAATCCTGCCCCGCCCGATCCTCGGCAGCCCCTCGGGGGGGTTTTGGGGGGCCCGGGGGGCACAGCCCGCTGACCTCGGAGTGTGGTGGGGGCCTCTTCCCCTCTCTGTCCCTCACAGGTTTTGCAAAAATTGGGCAAAACGGTGGAAACCAAAGACGAGCAGTTCGAGCAGAGCGCCTACAACTTCCAGCTGCAGCAGGTGACAGGGGGACACCGGGGACACCGGGGACACCGGGGACACCCCGACCCATCCCGGGGGTCTCTGCCCCCCCCCAGCCCCGCAGACAGCCCTGAGCCCCCCTCGCCGCCGTGTTTTGCAGAACGAGGGTCACAAACTCTACAAGGAGCTCAAGGGGTTCGTGGGAGCCGTGAGAGGTGCGGAGCCGCCCCCGAATGTCCCAGGGAAAACCGGGAACGGGCAGGGACTCGGGGCGGAGCCAGGATAATAAATAAGGAGTAGCAGAGGAAAGAAATCATGCTGCAATAAATAGATTATTAATTAAGAATTCAGTGTTAAGTCAAAAGAAAGAATAAATAAAAATAAATATTGATTTAAATATTGATAGATATTGATAAATAGATTGTAACTACGAATGGATAATAAAGAGAAAATAGCTAATAAATATAGTATACATAATATATTATATAGATAATATATTATAGATGAGATATATATTATATATCTTACGTATATGACATATGCAATACATATTTTTATATCTCATTATTTATTAAATGCATATGGGATAATGAAGAGATAAAAATGATAGAGAGATAATGGAGAGATTAAAATAATAGATGTTAAAATATATTAAAGATAAAATAATAATATAAATACTGTATGTGGGATAATAGATAATAAATATATATGGGATATATATTATATATCAGATATTAAATAGAAAACCAGATAATACATATGTTATCTATTGGATATATATGTTATATATGGGATTATAGAGACAATAAATAATTTAAAATAACACACCTGGACTAAAAAACAAAAATGGACAGTAGTGAATACATAAATAACGATCAGGAATAAATTATAATGATGATGACAATGATGATGATGATAATGATAATAATAATGATAATGATAATGATAATGAAGAAAATAATGACAATTATGATAATAATGATAACGATAACGATAATGATGGTGATAATGATAATGATAATGATGGTGATGATGATGATGATGATGATGATGATGATGATGATGATGATGATGATGATGATGATGATGATGATGATGATGATGATGATGATGATGATGATGATGATGATGATGATGATGATGATGATGATGATGATGATGATGATGATGATGATGATGATGATGTCTGTGCCCCCAGTGATGCACGAGAGCTCCCGCAGAGTGGCCGAGACGCTGCAGGAGATTTACAGCCCCGAGTGGGACGGGCACGAGGAGCTCCGGGCCATCGCCGACGTGAGCCCCACCTTGAACACTGGGGTTTTGTCAGCAGTGGCCTTTTGGGGTTGTCCTGGGCCAGGGACCTTTTTGACAGCAGCCTTGAGCATTGGGGTTTTGTCAGCAGTGGCCTTTTGGGGTTGTCCTGCACAGGGTCAGGATCTGCCTCGATGATCCCTGTGGGTCCCTCCCAGCGCTGGATCCTCATGGCCCCCCAGCCCTGTGGCCTGGCCGGGTTCCTGAAGAGCCTTTTTGGGGTTTTGGGGGTTCCGGGGTGCGCAGCGGATGCTGCCTGGCCTCGCCTCCGACTTCCTCCGTCAAAACCCTCCAACGGCAGCAGCGGGGCCGCGGGCGGGGCCGTGCCGGGGCCATGGCCGAGGGCAGGAGCGGCAGCGCCGGGCTCTTCGCCAGGCAGGTCCAGAAGCACTTCAGCCGCGCCCAGGAGAAGGTACGGAGGTGCCACCCACCCCCACGTCCCAGCTTCCACTGGATGTGTCCTCCTTTCCCACCGCAGCGCTCCCGGGGTGGCCCAAAGGCACAGCTCAGCGCCTTTGGGTGCACACAGGGTGGGAATTTGGGGTTTCTGGGTCACTGTCATGGTTGCTTCAAGGCTTTGGAGGATGGCATCTCCCAGAGATCCCCAAGATACTTTGGCTCCTCTAATGGTGGGGGGTTCTCCACCCAAAACGCCTTGCAGAGGTTATGGGGGGCTGTGGGGAGGTGGCACAGGGTCCCTGGGCTGGCTGGCACTGCGGGGGCCCAGCAGGACCCAGCGTGGCCGGTGGTCCCAGGAGCGTTGGTGAGATCGGCACGGGCGCGCAGGAAGCGAGGGGGAAGGGCTGCGGAAGTGGCACGAGCGGGGCAATTCTCTGCTGCTTTGGGGCACTTGGGGGGAGCCTCTTTCCTTTCCTCTCCCCCTAAAAGTAGCTGTGACTCCCCTTTTGGGGGTGACACAAAGACCCCTTTCAAACCCTCCCGGGTTTCCTGGCCAGGGCTCAGTGTTAAATTTGGCTTTCCCACGGCTCAATCATCCCGGGCCAGGCTCTGGCTGCTTCCTGCACGCTGCAAATCTCCCTCCCAGCCGATCCTGGCCTCTTCCCAGGGGGCCCAGCCTCTTCCTGGACATCCCAAATCTCCCTCTGACCCAGCCCCAGCCTCTTCCTGGACATCCCAAATCTCCCTCTGACCCAGCCCCAGCCTCTTCCTGGACCCCAAAGCTCCCCGCTCCCAGCCCTGGTCCCTTCCTGTGGGGGTCAAGCTGTTTTTAGACACCCTAAAAGTCCCTCCTGCCTGGCCCAGGCTCTTCCTGGGGGGTTCCACCTCTTCCTGGACACCTTGAATTTCCCCCCATCTGATTTTCCAGAGGGTCACCCTCTTCCTGGGCACCCCAAAACTCCTTCATGCCTGGCCCCAGCCTCTCCCTGGGGAGCTCATTCTGATGCTGGACACCCCAAAGCTGCCCTCTTCCCAGGAGGCTCAGCCTGGACACCCCAAATCTTCCCCACCCAGCGCAGCCTCTCAGCTCTCCTTCAGCCTCAGACCCTCCTCATCCTCCTCACGGCATCCCCTGTGCCCCACAGCCAGGGGCTAGGGGTGTTTTGGGGTGCACAGCACTCACCCACAGGGTTTAGAGTGGGAGGCAGATTGGGTGGGAGGTAGGTTAGGATGGGAGGTAGATTGGCACCCAAAAATTCACCGTTTTTCCTGAAAGAAATAAAAGCACTGAGGGACTCAGTGAAATTTTGCATTTCCACATAAATCCTGCCCCGCCCGATCCTCGGCAGCCCCTCGGGGGGGTTTTGGGGGGCCCGGGGGGCACAGCCCGCTGACCTCGGAGTGTGGTGGGGGCCTCTTCCCCTCTCTGTCCCTCACAGGTTTTGCAAAAATTGGGCAAAACGGTGGAAACCAAAGACGAGCAGTTCGAGCAGAGCGCCTACAACTTCCAGCTGCAGCAGGTGACAGGGGGACACCGGGGACACCGGGGACACCGGGGACACCCCGACCCATCCCGGGGGTCTCTGCCCCCCCCCAGCCCCGCAGACAGCCCTGAGCCCCCCTCGCCGCCGTGTTTTGCAGAACGAGGGTCACAAACTCTACAAGGAGCTCAAGGGGTTCGTGGGAGCCGTGAGAGGTGCGGAGCCGCCCCCGAATGTCCCAGGGAAAACCGGGAACGGGCAGGGACTCGGGGCGGAGCCAGGATAATAAATAAGGAGTAGCAGAGGAAAGAAATCATGCTGCAATAAATAGATTATTAATTAAGAATTCAGTGTTAAGTCAAAAGAAAGAATAAATAAAAATAAATATTGATTTAAATATTGATAGATATTGATAAATAGATTGTAACTACGAATGGATAATAAAGAGAAAATAGCTAATAAATATAGTATACATAATATATTATATAGATAATATATTATAGATGAGATATATATTATATATCTTACGTATATGACATATGCAATACATATTTTTATATCTCATTATTTATTAAATGCATATGGGATAATGAAGAGATAAAAATGATAGAGAGATAATGGAGAGATTAAAATAATAGATGTTAAAATATATTAAAGATAAAATAATAATATAAATACTGTATGTGGGATAATAGATAATAAATATATATGGGATATATATTATATATCAGATATTAAATAGAAAACCAGATAATACATATGTTATCTATTGGATATATATGTTATATATGGGATTATAGAGACAATAAATAATTTAAAATAACACACCTGGACTAAAAAACAAAAATGGACAGTAGTGAATACATAAATAACGATCAGGAATAAATTATAATGATGATGACAATGATGATGATGATAATGATAATAATAATGATAATGATAATGATAATGAAGAAAATAATGACAATTATGATAATAATGATAACGATAACGATAATGATGGTGATAATGATAATGATAATGATGGCGATGATGATGATGATGATGATGATGAGGTGTCTGTGCCCCCAGTGATGCACGAGAGCTCCCGCAGAGTGGCCGAGACGCTGCAGGAGATTTACAGCCCCGAGTGGGACGGGCACGAGGAGCTCCGGGCCATCGCCGACGTGAGCCCCGGGTGTCCCCAAGGGTCCCCTCGAAGCCTGGGGCCTTGGAGGGTCCCGGGTGTCACTGCTGTCCCCGTCCCTGTCCCCCCAGAGCAATGACCTCCTGTGGGATGACTACGAGGCGAAGCTGGTCGACCAGGTCCTGCTGCTCATGGAGAATTACCTGGTCCAGTTCGGGGACTTTAAGGTGCCCCCCTGCTCTGTCCAGCGGGGTTGGGGACAGGGGGAGCACGGGGGGGTCCTGGCTCACCTGTCCCCCCCCCAGGAGCGCATCGCCAAGCGGGGCCGAAAGCTCGTGGACTACGACAGTGCCCGGCACCACCTGGAGGCTCTGCAGAGCGCCAAGAAAAAGGACGAGGCCAAAATCGCCAAGGTTGGGACTCCCCGGCGCTGTCCCCGTGTGGGGACAGTCCCCCGGCCGTGGGGACAAAAGCACGAGCCCCCCGTCCCTCCCCGCAGGCCGAGGAGGAGTTCAATAAAGCCCAGGCGGTGTTTGAGGACCTGAACAGGGACCTGCGGGAGGAGCTGCCCGTCCTGTACGGCAGGTACGGCCCTGTCACAGGCCTGGGGACACCGCGGGGGCTCGGGGACACTGCGGGGATTTGGGAACATCACGGGGCTGGAGGGCACCGTGGGGGTTGCCAGGCTGGGGATGTCATGGGGCTGGGGGACACCACGGACCAGGGGGATGGGGGACATCGTGAGTCTGGGGGACACGGCAGAGGTGGGGGGACATCGTAAGGCTGGGGGACATCGTGGGGCTGGGGGACACTGGCTGGGCAAGGGTGCCATCGGGTGGGTGAGGTCCCCCCATGCAGGGAAGAACTTGCGTGGGTCTCTGTCCAAAGTCCACCATGGGGACACCTCGGGGGTCCTGGGGCCATCAGCCACGGGGGCCTGTGACAGTGGGAGGTGGCAGCTCCACGGCATCCATGGGGTGGCCCTGAGGGGACATTCCCGTTCCGTGCGGGGCCCACGGAGTTGGGGACTCAGCCCGGGGGACGGGTGGGAGGTGGCTGAGCACGCCCAGACCCCTCCCTGTCCCCTCGGTGGGACATGGTGGGGCACGCCCAGACCCCTCCCTGTCCCCTCGGTGGGACATGGTGGGGCACGCCCAGACCCCTCCCTGTCCCCGCAGCCGCATCGCCTGTTACGTCACCGTTTTCCAGAACATCTCCAACCTCCGCGACGTCTTCTACAAGGAGATGAGCAAGGTGGGGAAGGCATCCCAAAACACCTCCCCCGACCCCGGTAGCACGAGGTGTTCCCAGGTGTCCCCAGGTGTCCCCAGGCGTCCTCAGGTGTCCCCAGGTGGCTACACCGGTGCTTTCCCCGCCCCTCCAGTCCTTGCTCTTCATTTCATTCATTCATTCATTCATTCATTCATTCATTCATTCATTCATTCATTCAGAGCAGCCCGAGGGTGTTCGGGGTGTCCCCAGGAGTTGGGGGCCCTGCTGAGCCCCCGGGTGATGGGGGGCACCTGGGGGTCCCCCTGAAGGGTTTCTGTGTCCCCCCTCCCCAGCTCAACCGGGACCTGTACGAGGTGATGAGCAAACTGGAGAAGCAGCACTCGAGCAAGGTGTTCATCATCAAAGGTGTCCCCAGGTAACAGCCGGGGACATGAGGGGACAATTCGCCCCCCAGCCCTCCTGGAGCGGGTGTCTGCCGCAGATGGGCTGAAGGTGCCTCTTGGTGGGCCTGGGGAATTATCGGGGTCCTGCTGGATGGGGAAGCGTCCCCTGCAAGCTGGGACGGTGACACCCCAAGGATGCTTGGGGACACCCCAAGCTGAACCCCTCTGTCCCCCCCCAGTAACCGCCGCTCTCTGGTCATCTCCGCGCCCGTGAGCCCCCCGGCCATGTTCCCCTGCCCGGACAAGGCTCCCGTGGTGGACGCGGAGGTGACACCGGGGTCCCCCGGCGGGGACAGCGCCGCCAGCGACACCGCCACCAGCGCGGAGCTGGGGGCTGTTTCCCCCGGGCCCCCCCCGGCCTCGCCCGCCAGCGGGGGCTCGCTGGACTCGGCGTCGGTGTCCAGCGAGGAGAACGCGGAGCCCGGCGGCGACAGCGAGCCCCCGGAGCGGGCGACATCGGTGACAGGGTCGGTGTGCAGCGAGGGGACCCCGGAGCCCCTCTCCAAGCCCGACTCTCTGTCCCCTGGCCAGGAGCCATCGGCGACAGCCGCGGAGCAGGGGGGTGACAGCGGGGCGCGGGGGGGCCCCGAGGCCATCGCCACCTCCCTGGCGTCACTGATTTTATCCGAGGCCATTGCCCAGGCCGCTGGCACCTTGTCACCAGCGGCGGGGAGAGCCGCGGACACAGCAGGGGACAGCGCGGCCACCAGCGCCGAGGGTCGGGCACGGCCGGCGGTGCCGCCGTCCCCCCCCGCGGCTGTCCCCTGCCGTGTCCTCGGTCCCGCGGCGGCACCGGCGTGTCCCCGGGAGCCGTGCCAGCTCGGCGGTGAGCGGGGACAGCGCGGTGACACCGGGGACAGCGCGGAGGCGGCGGATGTCGAGCCACAGGTGCGCAAAACTCAGGGGGAAATTTTGGGGGACGCCGGGGTGGGAGCGAGGAACGCACACAGGGGAATTCCCGGCTGGGGACACCCGGGCGGGATGTGGGGACACGGGGCCGGCCCGGGGGACAAAGCCAGCCCGTGGGACACCAGACCTGCCCCTCCCCGCGGCGCCGGGCCCCGGGAACGGCCGGTGCCCCCCTGGACCCCCAACCCAGGCGGGTGCAACGGGCGGGGGGCTCGGTCCCTTTTTGGGGGGGATTCAACGGAATCACGAGGTGCCAGTGTCACCCTCGCGTCTCTCCCAGGGCTGTTCCGGGACACCGGAGCAGGACACGAGCCGGGACCCCTCAGGTGCTGCAGAACCCCCCCAGGATCCCCCCGAGTCCCTCAGCACCCTGTGATCCCACAGGGAAACGAGGCGTCTTCCCTAACTAAATTCATTCCCCAGAAAGTATTTCCCAGCCCCCATCCCGTAGGAAATAAAGATGGAAAAGGTGGAAAAATCCCAAATTTCCATCTGGGATTGTGGAGGGGTCCGGGGGGACCCCACCGGCGGATTTGGGGTGCCTGAGTGTAGGGGGTGGGAGGTTGGGGGTTGTCACTCCCTGCCCGGCTCCAACACCCGTGACTCGGGAAAAAGGCGTCGAGCCTGTTCCACCAGCTCCGGAAAATGCGCTGTCATGCCAAAAAAATCCCTAACACCCCAGTTTTCCCCTCCCGTGATCCAGAATTCCCCCATTCCCGCACGAAGCCCCATTCCCCATCTCCGGGATGATGGGTTTGGCCCGCAGCCAGCGAGGGGTTAACGGGGGAGGGATCCGGGGGGGTTGATCCTCATTCCGGCCGAACTGGAAAGGTGAGGTAGGAAAAGGGCAACGCCTTCACCTGGGCAACGCCTTCACCTGGAGCCGCACATGGTGCCGGCAGGTAAGAGCTGCAGGAGTGGGGCCTGGATCAGCGGGTGCCCCCCGAAATTCCCGGTCCCTGGGGGGCTTCAGGGGGTGGCTCCGCAAAATCCCAGGCACAGGGGTCTGGACACGGCGACACCGCAGCCCTGCAGCGAGGGACGGCTGTGCAGCCGGTCTGGGGTGAAGCCGGAATGTCGGGGCATTTTCCAGCTGGATTTGGGGTGGGAGCGGAGGGAAAGGCCGGATCCTGCCACAGGGAGAGGCTGAAATCAGGAAATCCGGCAGGAAAGCTGAGGGGGAAACAGGGGGAGCAAAGTGCTGGTCCCAGGGGATCATCCCAAGGTGACGGAGAAGAAACGAGGGCGAGCAGCAAATCCCGCCCTCCACCCGCTGGGGAGGGGAAGGGGGGGCTCTAAAGGGGCTGCTGAGCACTCCCGAAAGAAGCCTGGGGGGGTGGTTTGGTGATCCCATCCTCCATCCGCCGGGAATGGGAAGGGAGGGGCTGTGAAGGCACCGCCAAGCACCCCTAAAAAATCTGTAGGGACGGTTTGCTCCTCCCGTCCTCCAAACACCGGGAATGGGGGTGGGGGGCTGTAAAGGGGCTGCCGAGCACCCCCAAAAGAAGCTTGGGGGAATGGTTTGGTGATCCCATCCTCCATTCACCGGGAAAGGGAATGGAGGGGCTGTGAAGGCGCTGCCAAGCCCCCCTAAAAAATCGCTGTAGGGTTGGTTTGCTCCTCCCGTCCTCCAGGCACCGGGAACGGGCACGGGAATGGGGATGGGATGGGGGGCTGCATCCCCGGTGCTCCTGGAAGGAGTTTCTGGGATCAGAGCAGCCGAGCGGGGCAGGGCTTTCCTCGGGAGCGGCTCTGGAGCCGCTCGGCCGGAGCGCAGGAATGAGGAAGATGAGGGTTTTTCACAACCCTGCTTTGAAAACCCGTGGAAATGCATCGGGATGCAGCGGGCTGGGAATGATTCACCGCCGCTGCCAGCCCCCTTCTTCCGGGCTGGATCCCGGCCTGGCACCGCCACAAATCCCGAAGGTTTCCGCGGTGGGAAGCACCGGAGCCTTCCCGCAGGGCTCGGGTGATTCCTTCCCACGATCCCAAGGCGGGAGCAGGGAGGGGATCCAGGGGGAGCATCCCTGCCCCGGAGAGAGCAGGAGGAGCTGCACTCCCACCAGCACGCAAGGTTTGATGGAAATCAAACCCTTCCTCAGATAAACTCGGGTGAAACCTTTGGCGAGCCCCAGCATTCCAGTTCTCAGGCGCTGTGGGTCCCAGGATTGTGATTTTTGGGTGCTCGGCCCAGAGCTGGTTTGAGTTCCTCCCTGGCAGTGCCAGACTCTTCCCAAGAAACCCTTCCCAAGGCTCGGACCAGCCCCGTTCCACCCAGCGGCGCCTTTTCCTCTTCTTCCCCTAAACCCCGGACTCTTTTGGGGAATTTAATCCCAGTTTTGGCTCCGAAGCCAGCCGGGAGCAGCAGCTGCTCCATGGGAAGGCCGTGGTTGGCTTTGGGAAAGGCCCAGAGCCCGGAGAGCGCTGCCGGGGGGGGTCACAGCAAAGCCGGGTTTAGTGAAGGGCTGGGTGAAAGCAAAACCGGATTGAAAACAGAACTGTTCAAAGCAAAACTTGGTTTAATTCAAAGTTGGGTTTAAAGCAAAACCGAGTTTAAAACAAAGCTGGGATTAAAGCAACTCTGGATGTAATGCAAATCTGTGTTTAAAGCAAAATTGTGTCTAAAGCAAGCTCAGTTTAAAGGAAAGCTGGTTTTAAGGCAAAATCAGGTTTAATTCAAAGCTGGGTTTAATGAAAAGCTGGACTTAAAGTGAAATTTGGTTTAAAGCAAAATGAGTTTAAAGCAAAACTAAGTTTAAAGAAAAGCTGGGTTTAACATAGAACTGGACTAAAGTAAAATCAGGCTTAAAGCAAAATTGTGCTGGAAATAAAATCGGGTTTAATGTGAAGCTGGGTTTAAGGCAAATCGGGTTTAAAACAAATTTGGGATTAAAGCAGATCTTCGTTTCAAGCAAAGCTGGGTTTAAAACAAAACAAGGTTTAAAGTGAAAAAAATTTCAAGTGAAACAAGCTTAAAACACAGCAAGGTTTAATGCAGGACTAGTTTTAAAGCAGAACCAGGTTTAAAGCAAAGCTGGGTTTAAAGTAAAACCGGTTTCAAAGCAGAGCTGATCTTAAGTAAAACTGAGTTTAATGAGCGGGTGGCTGCTCGGGGTCCCTGCTACTCCTGTCACTGCCCCAATTCCCGGAGCCCCCAGCCCCAACTCCCGGCTCCTCCCCCAGCCTCATTTCTCGGGGCTCCCCAGCCCTCCCAGCTCCCCCAGCCCCAATTCCCATTTCACTCTGCCCCAATTCCCGCCTCCCCCAGCCCCAATTCCCGGCTCACCCCCAGCCCAAATTTCCAGCTCCCCCATCCCAATTCCCGGCTCCCCCCCAGCCCCAATTCCCGTCTCCTCCACACCCAATTCCGGGCTGGACCCTAACCCCAATTTCCAGCTCCCCCAGCCCCAATTCCGGGCTCGCCCCCAACCCCAATTCCCGGCTCCCCCAGCCCCAATTCCCGGGGTTCCCCCAGCCCCAATTCCCGCTCCCGGCCCTGCCGTGTCCCCGCCCCCGCCCCGCTCCCGCCGCTCGATTTCCTCTTTTTTTAAAACCCCAAACAAACGGGATTTGATTCGCTCGGAGCGCGCTGAGTCACGGAACCCCCGCGCCCGGAGCCACCGGCCCCGCGCCCGGAGCCCCCGCCGGGACACTCTGGGGGGCCCGGGGGTCCCCATCGGGCACAGCCAAGGTGGGTCGGACAGCTCCACGTCCCGGCTGCGACACCGAGCTCCGGCCCCGCCTTTGGGGCGTTTTCAAGGGCTTTCGGGCACTTTGAAGCTCTCAAAATCTGGGAGTGAATCGAGTCAGGGGCTGGTTCTTCCGACCCCAGCCCCAGTAACACCAGTGCGTTACTGGTGCTGCACCACCCCCCTGGCGCGGAGCCTTTGGGGGCGGGTTGGGGGAAATCACCGCTTTTATCCCTATTTTTGACAGCTCCGAAGGAACCCGGAGCCTCACCTGGAAGGAGCCACTGGAAGGAGGGATCTCAGCCCCACCTGAGCACAGCCGATGGGGCATTGAGTGGGAATTCACCGCTTTTACCGCTGTTTTTGGCAGCTCTGAAGGACCCCAAACCTTCCCCCGGCAGGAGCCGACGCGATGGAGAGAGATCAGCCCCACCTGAGCTCAGGTGAGCGCCTGGAGCCGCTTCTCCGGCCTCTTCCCACCTTCCCCACCCGTCCCAAGCCCTCCCTCACCTCCCTGTCTCCCCGTCCCGAGGAAGACCTGACCACCCCGTACCTGAGGAAGGCTCCCACGCCCCCCGGCCATGAGGACGCCGACACGGCCGTGATCGCAGGTGAGGCCGCGCTGCGCTCGGCCCCGGGGCGCTGCCGGCGCTCGGGCTGAGCCTGTGCTTGCCCGCAGTGGTGATCACCCTGGTGTTCCTGACGCTGCTGACCGTGCTGGCGGTGATCGGGATTTACCTGTACCGCAACCAGGGCTCCTACCGCACCTACGAGCAGCCCGAGGCGGACGCGGCCCCGCGGGAGGAGCCTCCGGCCAAGGAGAAGGAGGAATATTTTATCTAAGGACGCGCCTGGCATCCACACAGGTCCCGAAATTCACTGCAGCTGGGGGGTCGACGTGAATTTTCAGGGGTTAGGATGCTACCTGAATTCCCTGGCATCAGGGATCTGCCCAGATTTCCTGGAGTTGGGGATCCGCGGAAATATCCCGGAGCTGAGGATCTGCTGGAATTTCTTGGAGGTGGGGGATCTTCCTGAAGGGGAATCTGCCTAAATTCCCTGGAGCTGGGGCTTTACCTGCATTTTCTGGCTTTGGGGTTCTGCCTAAATTCCTTGCATTGGGGGATCCACATCAATTGGAAACCTGCCTAAATTCCCTGGGGTCGAGGTTCTGCCTAAATCTCCTGGAGCTGGGATCTGCCTGAATCCCCTGGAGCTTGTGATTTCCCTAAATTCCCTGGAGCTGGGGTTCGGCCTAAAGCTGAGGATCTACAGCTGGTTTTGTTTGGTTTGTTTTGGTTTTTTTTCCTTAATTTATGAAGCCAACCATGGAAGGATTACGTGGGTGCCCGAGGGTAGGAAAAACCCCAAATACCCCTCCCCCAAAAAATAGTAAGAGGAAGTTCCCAATGCAGCAGGAAAAAGGAAAGACGTGAGGAAACCCCAGCTGGCAGCAGCCAAAGGGGTTCTCAGAGGCCCAACAGAAATCTGTTACTTCATTTAAATTTTCAAAATAATCTTTATTTTATTTTTGGTTTTTAGTATAAAAACTCCACAAGTTCAGTGCAGCACAGAGAGTCCGAGAGCTGAGCTCGGGAGCAGTCAGGGATGGTCACACTCACACAGAACACAGATTCAGATTAAAGTGAAATATTAAGATAAAATAGAGTCGAATCTGAGCTCTTTCTTCATCAAGTAACAACCAAAAGGAAGGAAAACACCCGACTGAGGATCCCTGAAGTGCTCCTCCCAATCTTGCGAGGTTTGGTTATCAATGCAGGTGTGAGTCACTGATAAACACATCGATAAACCCATTCACAAACTTCCCATTCCTAAAAACCCACCGCCAAACATCCCATTGATAAAACTCCTCCATAAACCCACCAATCAACGCCTCATTGATCAACCCATCGATAACCCCCAAACCATCCCCATCCCAAAGAGAAAACCCAAGGGATTTGGGTGCTCCCTGACATCCCCACCCCCGGGACAGATGGAAACAGCCTCTCGGATTTAAGGAATTTGGGTGCGAAAACACCAGGTCTGAGTTAAAATCAAGCGTTTGCTAATGAAGCATCAATTAAACCTGGCTCTAGCTGGAATGGGAGGATCCCCCGGGAGCTGCAGCACGGCCCTGGCACCGCTCATGGCTTCGATTAGAGCTGAGGTGCAAACGATCCAAGATTACCGGGAGTGGGTTAAAAAAAATCCCAGGACAGAGGTTCCTGGGGGAGAAAGGTGGGAGAGGGAGAAGGGGCACCTCGAGTGAGGCCAGGAAGGGCTCAGGTGTCCCTGCCCCTGCTGGGGAGGAGATTTTTGCCTCTGGGAAGGGAATTTTGCCACTGGGAAGGAGATTTTTGCTTCTGGGAGGGAGATTTTGCCTCTGAGGAGGAGATTTTGCCTCTGGAGAGGAGATTTTTTTCTGTTTCCTACCCAAAATCCACCTTTCCCAGAAAGAAGAGAAACCCGGATGGCTCCAGCAGAGGGATGAGGGCGGTGGAAGGGGAAACCCCTCCCCAGGGCGTAATTAGGCCATTAATTAATTAGAGCTGCGTGTAAATGAGGAAGGGGCGGGGCTGAGCTCACCCCTGTTTGTCAGTGAGCCCCCCGGGACCCCTCCCCTGTCACCCACTCGTGTCCCCCGGGGGGGTCCCTCCCCAGGCCCCGTGCAGGTCCCTGGGGGGAGGTGCTGACGGGTGGGGACCCCCAAACCCGGCCCCCCCTCACCAGAGGCTGAAGGCCCCCCCGGCCCCCCCCAGGAAGCCCCCCTTGCGCGGGGGCAGCAGGACGGCGGCTCCGGGCGGGACGGGCACCGGGGGGGCACCCGGGGGGCACCCGGCGGGCGGCGGCTGCAAGGCAAAACGGGACGGGCACTGTCACCGGAGGGACAGGGCAATGTCACCAGAGGGGATAGGACACTGTCACCAGAGGGACAGGGACTGCCACCAGAGGGGATAGGCAATGTCACCAGAGGGACAGACACTGCCACCAGAGGGGATAGGCAATGTCACCAGAGGGGATAGGGCACTGTCACCAGAGGGACAGGACACTACCACCAGAGGGACAGGGCACTGCCACCAGAGGGACAGGACATTGTCACCAGAGGGACAGGGCAATGTCACCCAGAGGGACAGGGCACTGCCACCAGAGGGACAGGACATTGTCACCAGAGGGACAGGGCAATGTCACCAGAGGGGACAGGGCACTGCCACCAGAGGGACAGGGCACTGTCACCAGAGGGACAGAGCACTGTCACCACAGGGACAGGCACTGTCACCAGAGGGGACAGCAGAGGTCACTGTCACGACAGGGGATAGGACTCTGTCACGACAGGGGACAGGTCACTGTCACAAGAGGGGACAGCCGAAGCTGCTGTCATGCCCAGGGCGGGCTGTGGGGACAGAGCAATGTCCCCAAGCCCTGCTGAGGGACAGTGGCTGGGGGTGGGACACGCTGGGCCCTCAGCCCTGAGCCACCTCTGAGGCCTGTGGCACCTGGGCCGGGGGGCGGGGGGGACACCTGTCACCTGGGCTGCCACCTGGGGGACACATTGTCACCTGGGCTGCCACCGGGGGGACACACTGTCACCTGGGCTGCCACCTGGGGGACACCTGTCACCTGTCCCCAAGCTACAGGAGGGAATTCCAGGGGAGCAGGAACCTCTCAGGCTCCAGGAGAGGGGAGCCAAGGGGGCCAGGTGAGCAGGCCCAGGTGAGCAGGCCCAGGTGAGCAGGGCCAGGTGAGCAGGCCCAGGTGAGCAGGAGCCTCCCCCAGCTCACAGGCAGTGCCAGGCCCAGGTGTGGGCACAGGTGAGGTCTGGTGGCCAGGGCCCCCCTTGCCCTGCTCCCCCAGGCCAGATTTGGGCAGTGCCACACACACCCAGCCCAGGGTCACCTGTGATCCCAAATCCCAGCTGGAAGTGCCCAAACCAGCTGGGATGGGGCTGGGACTCACCTGGGCCAGGGCCAGGTGATCTTCTGGTCCCTCCCCACCCAAATCCCCCAGGCCTGGGGATGCACCTGCACTCCCCGGGATGCTGCCAGTGCCACCTGTCCCAAACCCCAGAGATCCACCTGGTATCACCAGGATGCTGCCAGTGCCACCTGTCCCAAACCCCACAGAGCCACCTGCACTCACCTGAATGCTGCCAGTGCCACCTGTCCCAAGTCTTCCTACCCAAATCCCCAAGCCCCAGAGATCCAGCTGCACTCCCCAGGACAGTGCCAGTGCCACCTGTCCCAAACCTTCCCAGCTGTCCCAAACCTTCCTACCTCATCCCAAACCCCAGAGATCCACCTGGTATCAGCAGGACAGTGCCAGTGCCACCTGTCCCAAACCCTCCCACCTGTCCCAAACCCTCCCAGCTGTCCCAAACCCTCCCAGCTGTCCCAAAGCCTCCCAGCTGTACCCACGGCAGAGATGCAGCTGCACTCACCGGGATGCTGGCAGTGCCCCCTGTCCCCAGCCTGGCAGCGGTGTCAAAGCCCCCCTCGAGCAGCACGGTGGATCCTGGTGGGAACACCTGGCCCAGGGGCAAATAGGCCACGGGGGAGCCCAGAGCCCCCAGGGGCAGCGGCGGGGCCAGGGGCAGGTACAGGGACGCCCCCGGGTACGCCGGGGACACGGGGGGGATGCCGGCAGCGCCCAGGGGCACGAAGCTCAGACGGTAGAGCTGCAAAACGAGCGAGGCAGCGAGGTGGGACAGGTCACCCCCAGCCAGCAGCCGGGGACTGTCACCTGCCTGAGGGGGCTGGGGGTCACCTGAATCCACCCCTGGGCTTTACTGGGGTCTTTGGGTGGCCTGGGCTAGGGAAGGAGGGTCCCTGCCCAAGGGGAGCTCTGGGGGTCCCCGGGTAAAGGTGCCAGGGACAGGTGTGCCCCCGTGCCCCACCTACCTCGGGGTACGCAGCGGTGGGGTCAAGGTAGGGGGGCGGCTGCGGCAGGGGCAGAGCCTGGGGGTACCCGGGGGGGGCCGGGCCCGGGAACAAGGGCTGGCCTGGGAACGGCCCTGGGGACAGAAACGGGTCAGGAGAGCCGGGAGCCAGGGCTGGGCTTTGGGGCTGGAGGAAAAGGCATCGCCCCGTGCCCTGTGCCCCCCCGGGGACCACCCCAGCGCTCCCCATCCCTGCCTGCCCCCCCAGGCAGCTCCACCATGGCATCAGCCCGGCCTCGCTGTGCCCCCAGCGCCCCCCACTCCCAGGGGATAGGC